CGCCTGGGCCCGCCGGTGCACTGGTGGAGCTCAGGGTTTGGGGGTGGATGCCCGGGTGACTACTGGCCCATTCCTGGCGGCTTCTCCACGGGGCCTGGCCGGGGGTTGGGGCGCCCATAGGGCCTCGGATCCCTGGGGCCCGTGGCCGGATTCACTTCGGGCTGGCTGGCTGCCGGTGGAGCCCACGGACTCATCCCCACGGCTCCCGGGGGCTCCAGGATTGCGGTGGCTGGGGGATTTCCTTGAGGCTGTCTTTCCTCCTCCCTTGGTGGGGGTCTGATTTCCTGGGCTGGCCCCGCCTAGGTGCCTTCGTTCTCGGGGTCCTTTTGGGTGTCTGGGGCTTTGGGTCTCCTGGCGCTGGAATCAGTGTTCTGGGGGCGTGCCTCTTCGGCTCTCCACAACCACTATTGACCATTTTCTCTATCGATAAACTTTACATGTACAAGTGCACTCTCACAATCAACTTCAGGAGCTTGTTTCCAGGTACTCAGAAATTCACATCCATACAGAAAGCCCATATTCTTATCTTCAGGTAACACAGAGTACATGTCAGATTAAATAATACTACTTCAGCGATAGTTTCAAGGTGCTACTTTATGGTATGTCTCATACCATGTCTGTTGGTTGTGCTGTTCTTTTTGAATCTCTTTGCAGGTGATGAAGCAGACTGAAAATGTTTTATCATCATCTCCCTTCTATCTGCTCTTTCTTTCATCTTTTCTCTTTTTTTTCTGTTTTTCCTCTGCTGTTCTACTTACATTGCAGTGTCCATATAATCTGTAAAACTGCCTGCGTATTTATAACAAAAGAGAGATCATATCTCTCCTATCCTGGCTTCTCTTCATTGGCTTCCTGTGAAATCCAGAATATGATTTAAAATCCTCCTTCTCACATATAAAGCCTTAAATGGCCAAGCTCCATCTAATATCAGAGATCTGATTGTTCCTTATGTTCCAGAGTACTTCGCTCTCAATCTGCAGGTTTACTAGTGGTTCCTAGAATTTCTAAAAGTAGAATGGGAGGCAGATCTTTTAGTTATCAGGCTCCTCTCCTGTGGAACCAACTACCAGTTTTAGTCCGTGAGGCAGACACCCTGTCTACTTTTAAGGCTAGGCTTAAAACTTTCCTTTTTGATAAAGCTTATAGTTAGAGTGGCTCAGGTTATCCTGAGCTATCTCTATAGTTATGCCGCTATAGGCTTAGACTGCTGGAGGACTTGGGGACCCACATTTCATCATTCTGCTTCATTCTATCCCTATTCCCCCTCTCTGTTAGTTCAATCTCTAACATTCCCCTACGATCATCATAGTAGCTTCAGCTTGTCCGTTCCTGTTTGGCTGTGACTCGATCCTGGAGAAAAATATCAGCTGTGATGCTGCCATCAACACATTAAATGTTTTGAAATTTCGCATTGTCTGTCTCGCCTGAATACTGGGTCTTAGAGTCTGATTTTCTTGACAAGTAGGTTTTATTTCTCATTAATGTACACTCAGTACCCCATATTGACAGAATTTTTTTGTTGTTGAAATTTTTAAAAATGTATTAAAAAAGAAAGACTGAAATTACAATTCAAGATATCTTCAATCACATTTTGGAGAGTCAAAATGCCATTTACCGTGTCACACCTCCAGAATTATAATCAAAATATCTCAAAGTCAATTATGACAAGTCAAACCAATACTTCTTGATATCTGAATTAGAAAATAGCCCCAACGTGCTTTTATGATCTATCCTGCAGAACAGTTGCCTTCAGTATTTTGGGTGGCTGCTATGGCACTGGCTGTTCTTAACCAAGTTGTTTCAAAATGCCACATACAAATAACTCAGTAGTATGGGATGTGCGGAGAACAAGAACTTTGTGAACTCTAAGGTTGCTTCAGAAATCTGCAGTAAATGACCCTGGGGATGTTACTTTGAAGCTGGATATTGAAGCTCCGCTGAGTTAGTGGCATCTATCTCACGGTCAATACAATTCAGGATCTCAGTCTTCGGCCAGCCATTCTCTGTTACTCCCTCTTCTTACTGGTGGTGATTCTTTCAGGGACATCAACAAATTTCCAAACCAAGCACTCTTGAGAAATAAAAATAAATAAATTCCTTGTCTTTTGACCAACTGAAACAAAGGGTAAACCCTGCTACTAAATTACATAAATGAGGAACACCAATTTTAATTTGTCTTTTTCTTATTTATGTTTTTGTTAAAATTTTGAATTTTTCTTCGATTGCACCTCTACTCATCTCTACTCTTCGCCAGTGTTGCCATGTCTCAGCAAGTAAAGTCGATATTGGATGTCCAAAAAAGCGCTAGATGATCTTCATCTATGGTCATTATCCAATTTGCATATTTTATACCTCTAGCTGTAGGACATTCAGAATCCCTCCGATTACTTTTTTTTTTTTTTTTTTTTTTGTCAGTCAAAGCAGTGCAGAAAGATAGCTGGAAGGGAAAACTTTTGGGAATTGTAAGAGTATTAGCTTTTATAAAGAGAAACAACTAAATAAAATTACTATAATTCATCCATTTAGTACAACATTCCATGCCAGTAAGTGTCAGTAATTCACCATTAACTGTTTGCTAACCAATGAAAAAAACTCAAGAAGAAGAAGAAGGAGGCAGTGCAGACACAAGAGGAGGAGAAAGGTCAGAAAAGTAGCTAAATATAGCCACAAATGTGCAAAATTATCAAGCTGTTCTTCCTGCCGTTTGTTTTCAAATGGTTTGCTGATTTCTGTTTGGACCTTTCTGAACATGTGCAGGAAATGGACTGATCCAATATGGTGGAGACTGAAGATGGGGGCTGAGACACACTTAATATTATAAGATTTTTTTGTGGCTAACGATCCTGGCTAACGAAAGAATTTTTATCAAAAACATAATTAATGTGCACCAATAAGTAATAGCTGTATCACATGTAAACAGAGTTTTATGGGGCCCCCAGGAGCTTGGGGCTCTAGGCCTCTACCTTGTTTTGCTGAATGGTAAATCCGCCCCTGCCCAAGAAACAATCATAGAGTAGCAGCTTTCAGTTTTTATGCTCCATTCTGAAACAAACTACCAGAAAAATGCAAAACAGGCAAAACTCTAAATTCCTTTAAATCAACGCTGAAAACTTTCCTGTTTAGAGATGCTGAGGATTAGTAGCTTAGAAAGAAATGCAGGTGAAAAGCTGTTATACACAAAAGCCTTTTAAATATTGACCAGCTCCTTTTGGTTATCAAGTTTATCTGCCTGATTTTTTATTTTTTATTTTTTTGGTGATTTTTTTTAATGATTCTGTGTAATGATTTTAATGTTTTGTTGATTTGCTATGTACTTGATTGATGTTTTTTATGATTTACATGATTTTACTGCACATTTGTTTGATTTTTTTATGATGTAAGACACTTTGGATTATCTTGCTGTTGAATACATTTTTACTTATTTACAGTACTTACCTACTTAGTATGTACTACTTAAACAAGGGTAAGGTGGTATATAAGGTTTACCAAAAACAAAAAACAAATCCTCCTAACATCTGAGATGTTGATTACCTAAATATATGAGCTAATTTGTTCTCATCTTACCTGTTATCAGCTTATCACTGTAAGCATCATAAAGCATCCCCAATGCGAATGGCCTACCAAGGGCAGACACTTCCATTTGATCTGAGGCCATGTCTTCAACCTGAAAGGAACCATTCATGAATCAAAGTTTATCTTATAAAACTAAGATCTATAATAAAATTCTTATCAGATGCAACCTTCTTGGGATGTGTTAAACAAAACGGATGCAGTGCTCTATGCAATCCATCTAGCATACAAACACGGCTCTGACTAAATTAAGTTTGGCAAGGACCAGGCCGTCCATGTGTCGGAGTTATTCTTCACACATCAGAAGATTCATGTACTTTACCAGACTCCCAACTTTTAGCCTTGAACTTTTAGACCTTTTACCACATTTTTAGGCTTCAAACATATAGAAAAGATATAAAATAAAAAAGAACTAAAGAGTGCAGTGTGCAAAATTAACTGGCCCCTTTACTTTCAGTGCAGTGAACTCTCTTCAGAAGTCCAGCACGGCTCTCTGAATGATCCAACATTGACCTTAATGAAAGATGACCATATATCCACCTGTGTGTAATCAAGTCTCTGTATAAATGTACCTGCTCTGTGATTGTCTCAGAAGTCTGTTTAAAGTGGCAGAGAGCATCACAAAGAGCAAGGAACACACCAGACTGTTATGAAGAAATTTGAATACAAAAAGATTTCCCAAGCTTTAAACATCGCAAGGAGCACTGTGCAATTGATAATACTGATATGTAGGGGTATCAGACCACTGTGAATCAATAAAGATCTGGTGATCCCTCTAAACTTTCAGCTCAAACAAGGAAAAAACTGATCTAAAATGCAGCCAAGAGGCCCATGATCACTCTGCAGAGATCTGCAGAAGAGGTGGGAGACTCCGTCAATAAGACAGTATGCTGCTCAAATCTGCACTTAATGAGAGGCATTTTTTTAAAGATATCCATAAAAAGTATTGTTTAAAATTTGCCACAAGCCAGCTGGGAGACACATCAAACATGTAGAAGAAGGTGCTCTAGTCAGATTAAACCAAAGGCAGACTATTTGGCAACATTGCAAAATGTTATGTTTGGCATAAAAGCAGCACAGTTCATCAAAACACTGTTATGCTATTTTACCGCCAGATTATGAATCTATGAAGTAACTAGGATTCGGAGTTGTAGTTGATTTATTGTTCATTCAAATCAAAGGTAAAACCTATCTACCAATGATTAACAAATGCATTCAAAGGTAGCAGCACTGTAGCTTAATGAGTCAGCACAGATAACACTATGGGACCAACTAGGTGGGGCTAAACTAGAACAAAGAGTCGTAAAACTCACAGAGTGGCCGCCTCTATACTATGTGGCCCAGAATGAGGTAGACAGCAGCTATCATTGCTAGGGAGACAATGGATTATAAAACTCACAAAATGATCTCCTCTATACCATGTGAATCTGATCGAGAATCCGTGAAAGAACTGAAGACTGCTGTTTCCAAATCCTATCAATCCTTACTTTGCTCAAGGTCACTGAGCAACTTGCAACCTGCAATCGCAGAAATTAATGGCGCTACGTAGTATTAACTCAAGGGGGCTGAATAATTTTGCACACCCAGGTTTTCAGTTTTTTATTTGTCAAAAAGTTTAAAATATACAATAAATCATTAAAATTTAATATCTTTATAACCTGGCTGTTAGATGTTGCATCAAAATTAAACACTGTAGTTTTAAACAATGACGCCTGTATTTCCAGTTTTGGGAACACTAGAGAAAAAAGTATCTGAGGTTTGATGATTTTTCTTGTTTATGATTAAATAAAAAGTTGTTTTTGAACTTCATATTTCTGCGCATTGGTAGCATTCAGTTGCTTGTCAAGCACTTTAACAAAAATAAAATATATAAATTACAAAAGAATTAAACAGTGGTCACACTATTCCAGATAAGAGAAAAAACAGGACTGTATTATACCATGAAAAAATGGAAACAATGGAAGTAAAATCAATATAGCCTAGAAAAAGTACAGACTATGTGTTTATTAAAGGCAGTAGTTGTCAGCCAGTGTGGAGATGATGTGAGGAGCTTATTTACATTAAAGCTTCCAAAACTGTTTGTTTCCATACATACAGTAGAAGCCATTCAAAATTTCCCCACTTTCCTTGATGTGCACTTGGCTGGTCCCCTACAATTCCTATTTAAACATCAATCTTCAAACTGAAATATTCTTTCTGTCATGATTTGTAGACATTAAGATCTAAAGAGAAGCACCATCAGAGAAGCACCATCTCCTTGTCAGACCCTGTAATTGAGTAAAAGGATGGAGTCAGAGTAAAAATTATGTTGGGTTCATTGAGGGAATTTTGCTGGGAGTTGCAGGGAAATGGGCTGCCATTTGGCTGGCGTTTGACTGGGAAGGGCCATTTTGAATGGCTGATAGTGTAATGACAGTATTCATGAGCGCTTCACAGTAGAATGCTGTCATTGAATCAGTGGTTCTGTGCCATCATCTCTTCTCTGTGTTCAAGGTATGCTGAAGTTGGATGTTGCTATTACGTGCGCTTACACTGTGGTCCTGATTTATACACATTCAGTAACGATCAATCTGTTTAAAGCATAGTAATCCTCCAAAAGGAGGCAGCAGAGTGGTAAAATAACTTGTATTAATTTAATACAACCACCAAAGAACTTAAGCTTTAAAATAGTTAAATATTCTGTTTTTCCTCTAATTTAGTTTGTGACTGAAGGAAAAACTAAGCATAGAAAAATCTACCTTTTTTGTTGATAAACTGGAAATCAGACCCTGTCCAGAACCACAGTTACATGAAGCCAGGAGCTTGGTTCTGAAGGAGAACCAAACTAAGTTCTGGTTATGGTTCCCTATATTGTCCACTGAGAGGAAAACAAAGAGAACACTCACCCTGATCCAGACTTTTACCAAATGCAGTCAGAACCAATTCCTCCTGATCTGGTACCGGACTCTAGCAGGATCTTCTCAGGATGATTTTCTATCAAACCAAACTTGGAGACAATGCCAGTCAGAGTTCCAGATCCAGTGAAGTTCAGCTAAGCAAACTAAGAAGTAGGTGGGATCAGACCACCACTTCCTTGTTCCCTCCTTTATCTTGGAATCAAACATTCCCCTTCATATTGCCAATCCTGCTTCAAGGTTTAAGGGCCATTTCATCATCAACCCCATTCATTTTACCGCAGGTAATAAAAACCCAAAGGAAAAACCAAACACACTCCCAGCATCCAGACAGTTACATAATCAGGGTTAATGAATGGAGAACTTTGAGACTTTCTGTACCAGTTAGTTCTGAATGATGGCAGGTGTATGTCAGATTTCCATAGTGTGGTGGAGTTGCAATGTGTCTTTGATGTTTTCATTTTCTCCTGCCTCTCACAGCGTGGCAGGCAGGGTTCCATTACCTCAATCAGTGGTGGCCTTTAAGAAGAAGCAGGCTCCCTCATGCAGATGGCAGATGGTTATTGTATCAATAGCGTTTACAAGCTAAATTAGACTTTCGTTGCATCTGGCCCCCACAATTTGTCTTCCCTTCAAGTGCCCCTCTCCATCCCAGCTCCCGCAGCTGTTTCTGCTCTCCTTTGCATATCCAAGAAAATATGATTTGACATTGATATGATGAATATGATTGGAGAACTTAGATAGATTGGACTGGATCGGGCTTTGGTTAGTAAAGTGATCCTGTTCAATCATAGCTCTTCCCCTGCACTGTGTGAAATGTGCCTTTTCACAGCCTTCAAATCCTGCTTCATAAACCAAGTGGGATCCTGTTCTTTGACCTTGTCTTTTCCTGACCACTGCCTTTGGACGGACCTTAACAGTTAGTGTTGAGTTGTGTTTTTCTTCTGATCTGTTGCTGAACCTTGCCTAATCTCCAAAAATGATTAAGCCCATCGGGTTTTAGGTAATCTTTGCCTGATCGACCTTTCATGCATGACCCTGAATAGTCCAATGACCTCAAACTGTTGGATTGTGGACGTCAGTTACCCTGCTCTCCAAAAACCTCCCAGAGACCTCAAAGACCCATTTTATAGAGCACTCTGCCCTGTTGGAGCTGGACTTTGACACCTGGTAATTCCCTTTGTCTTCATTTTTTTTTGGCTTTAATCCCAGTCTAAATCTTATCTGTTTTGTTGTTCCAGAATTACCAGAGTAACATGAATAAAGCTAGACCACTCCAACAGCTACTCTTAAGTGTTAAAAATAAACATTTGTAACTCCATATTTGAGTGCCTGTTGGGTTCTGGCTCTTTATTCATTAAAGAGTGACATTAGGCAAAATGCACTAAATCATTCGAGATAGCTTTCCATAGAGCTGTGTAACCAGATTTACAGCTGCCCTCATCAGAGATGTATAAGAGTTTCCAAACTTCTTCATTAGAATGATAACTGAGACTTTCTAAAAATGAAGAACATGTTCCAGCTGCAGAGACCACTGGAAATTAAACTGAAAGTGCCTGCAGTTTTCATATTCATAAAAACCCAGCATCAAGTTCCATCTGGAACAGGACTTATCTAATCGTCACAAAATATTTTTCATCCTTAACAATGGACCTAGGAACAGGAAAACATCAACATTCACACCATGAATATATCACATAGTAATAAAGTCATGGTACAATTAGGTGACATAATACATTAATAAATAAGTTGGTTAAAGTATGCAAGACATTGTAGCTTGCCAAGTCACTTTGTGTTCATTCTATTATTATTATTATTATTATTATTAGCAAATAAACTATTTTGCAAGAGTACTCCTGACCTGCAGGATATCAGCAAACCTGGCAACCAATCTTCCATGCAAAGTACAGGGTTGAATATCTGCATCAGTCTGAGTGATCAGTACGGTGACCAGATGACGGTTAGTTTTTCATCTAATCGGACTGGATGAAATAACGGAGGCGATCACTGCTAGTGCAACACCCGTCTACCAAGGCTCTTGGTTTGATCCCGAAGAAGCGGCCGGCGGCAAACAACCTTTTTTTTCTACGACAAAATGAGCTAATTTAATTGGCTAGAAGCTGCTCGACTGCATCGAGTGTCGCTTACTTTGGCTTGAGCTCACCGAAAAGTCAACATATTTGAAAGCAAA